CACCCTAGGTTACAAAATGAGTTCAAGGATAGCCTGAACTGCAAAGCTAGGCCCTGTCTGAAAAAGAAAAAGAAAAAAAAGAAAAAGAAAAGAAAGAAATGGGTATAGCATCTGTAACTTTTGGCACTTGGAGGCTAAGGCAGGAGAATCTCGAGTTTGAGACTGTGGTTTACATAGCAAGATCCTGTCTCACCATCCCATCACCACCAAAGGGGAAAAGAATATCATTCACATAAAATAAAAAATACACAACACAAAGCATACTTTTTAGTGGGACAACTTGATATTATGTGTCTCTTGAGTGATATAATATGAAGTAAAGGATATTCCAGATGTACTGGTCTTGCTGAACATGTCTAATCTGGATATACTCATGTGGAAAGATGAATCCAGAATTTAGTATATTCTGTGAGATGACTAGCCTGGAATCTTCAAAAATATCAATGTTGGGGGCTGGGGAGATAGCTCAGCAGTCTAAGTGCCTGCCTGGTAAGCACAAGGACCTAGGCTCGATCCTCAGTGCCACATGCCATGCTGGTCCTGTGCCAGCCAGCCAGGCCACCAAGATGGAGTGTGATGGCACACGCCTGTACTGGGGAGGCTGAGACAGGAGGATCACTATGAGTCTGAGCTATGTAGTGAGACTCTGTACCAAATAAATAAATACATAAATATTTATAAAAGATTTTTAAAAATTAAAAAAAAATCAGTGTTTGGTGCCAGCTTTGGTTGTGTAGCCCTGTGATCCTAGTACTTGGAAGGTTGAGGCATGAGGCTTGCTGTTAGTTTGAGGCCAGCTTGGACTCCACAGTGAGTTCAAGGTCAGCCTGAATTGCATAGTGAGGGCCTATCTCAAAAAAACAAAGCAAAACATAACAAAAACAAAATCAATATTATTTGAAACACACAAAAGTATAGGGTAGAACAACAAAATAAAAAGGAATTCCCTCTAAAATACAGGTGTACCATTCTAGGTTAACATAGGTTAAAGGAATACAACACCCAAACATAAAGCATAAATCTTTTTTTTAAGCATAAATCTTGATCAGATACTGGAATTCAAAACCCTTTTTTTCTTTTTTGCAGTAGTGGGGATCAAACTCCAGACCTTGCACTTGCCAGACAGGCCCCTGTGCTGAGGAGCTAACTCCCCAGCATATTTTTTTTTCTTTTTTGAGATAGGGTCTCGCTATGTAGTTCAGGTTGTGCTTGGATTCACTATGTAGCCCAGGCTGCCCTCAAACTCATGGCAGTCCTCCTGCCTCTGCCTCCCAAAGTGCTGGGATTACAGGTATGTACCACCATGCCCAGCTATACATTTTCTTCTTTTTTTCTGCAGTTCTAGGGGTTGAAAGCAAGGACTTCACATAAACCTACACCCCAGTCATAGTTATTTAAGAGTAGGAAAATTTATTGGAGAAAAGAAATGCGGGAATAGGCAATAGCAACAGCCACTGAGAAACTGGAGGGGTCCCGAATGGGTTGCCATATTTTGGTTTTTTTGAGACAGGGTTTCACTATGTAGTTTAGGCTGCACTTGGACCCACTATGTAGTTTAGGCTGACCTCGAACTCAAGAGATTCCTCCTGCCTCAGTCTCCCAAGTGCTGGGATGGGATTACATGTGTGTACCACCATGCCCAATCATTTTTACTTTTTTTTTAAAAATATTTATTTATTTTGTGTGTGTGTGGCCAGCTCAGCCCACCAGGGGGCGGGGCTGCCTGGCTGGCATGTGGTGCTGGGGATTGAACCGCGGTCCCTGTGCTTTGTTTAGCTTAGCTTGTTCTAAGTAGGTGCTTTAGACCACTGCGCCATCTCACCAGCCCCCATTTTTACTTTTTGAGACAAAGTCTCACTAACTTGCCCAGGTTGGGCTCAAACTTACAATCTTACTGCTATGGCCTTCTAGAACACTGGGAATTATAGGCACATGGCACCATGCAGGATTATTACAAATAGTTCTGCAATGAAGAATATATATATTTTCTTGAGCATATGTATAAGATTTTTTCCAGGACTTAATAGCTAAGGGAGCTCTCTACCTATCTCCAGCAGAACTGCTAGGTTCCAGGACCATTTTAGACTATTCTGGATATTTTTTATTTGTTTTTAAAAGCAACAGTACCAATTTTCACTCCTATCAAAGATTTCACTACATTTCCCCCCTTTTTGTTTAAAAAGTCCTTTCCCAATTATAGCTACAAAGATATTTTCCTGCACATTTAAATTTTTTTTCTCCTTGAGAGTCTTTTTAAAGAAATCTATTTTATTTACTTATTTGGTACAGAGTCTCCCTACCCAACTCAGACTCCAGCGATCCTCCTGTCTCAGTCTCCCCAGCACTGGAATTACAGATGTGGGCAACCACATCCAGTTTCAGCGGCCAGCACAGCATGCAGGCATGCAGTACTGAGGATCCCCAGGTCCTTGGGCTTGCCAGGCAGGTGCTTAGACCATTGAGCTATCTCCCCAGCTCATGAGACAGAGTCTTGCTGTATAATTTAGGCTGAACTTGAATTCACTATATAGCCCAGGCTGGCCTGGAACTCAGCAATCCTTCTATCTCAGCCTCCCAAATGCTGGGGCTACAGGTATATGCCACCATGATATAGGAGAAAGAAACTCCCAACCTCAAAGATACCTGGGACAAGTTCATGTTCTCTAAAACCAAAGAATAAATTTTAGAACAATGCAGGTTAAGAGCAGAATATATTTATTGAGGGAAAGAAAGCTTCTGTGCAAGAGAGGGACAGAAGGGGAGCCGAGTGCACTGCCAAGAATCCTGCCTTTTCTAGGGATTTTTATAGAGCAACACATTGAGGTGAGGTGGGTCTAAGCTGGGAAACATCGGAACTTGCAAGGTGGGCATGAGGTGGGACAAAATTATGGTCCACCAATAAGATTAAAAGCACAATTGCTCAGGCAAAATTGATTAAATCCAGGACCAAGGCAAGTGGCCATGGATACAGAACTGGGGCTCCTCCCATAGGGGTTTGGGTTAGTGGCTCTGCCTGGCTTTCTCAAGGTGATTGGTACCTATTTAGAATATCAATCGCTGATGTCTATGCCTAGGGAGGTATGTGGATGTATTTGTTTGATCTTTTGTCTTGAGGTCTGGCTCACAGTGACTATCTTTCCCTCAGTTGCAAGGTTTGTCTTCCATACTGGCTCCTTGAGGGTCCAGCCCTGCCTGCCTGCCTGTATTTCTCAGCTGCCTACAGAAAACACACCTGGCTTTTGCACATTTCATATTAATTTTATTATTACCTTTCTTTTTCTTTGTTTTTTTCAGAGCCAGGGTTTCACTTTGTAGTACAGGTTAGCCTTGAACTCACTATGTAGCCCAGGTTGGCCTTGGACTCCGGACTGGATCCTCTGGCGTTGGAATTATAGGTGTGTCACCACGCCTAGGTATTACTTTGTTTTTCTTTTTGAGACCTGGTCTCCCTATGCAGTTCAAGCTGGCCTTGTGCTCACTTTGTAGCCCCAGCTGGTCTCAAACTTGTAACAATCCTTCTGCCTCAGCCTGGCAAGTACTTGGATTACAGGCATGCACCACCAAGCCCTGCTTAACAAGCCTGTTGCAGCCAGATTTATACTGTTCTTATTCTGAGTCTGGTTGAAGGCTCCAAAACATACAGTTCCTTTACTCAGAGAATCCACTTTCCTATGGAGATACTCTACAGCTACATAATCAGTGCAGTATTAAGTATACAGTACAGTATTAAGTGATAAATGGTAGATTAGCTGTGTCAACAATATGAACCCAGGGTAAGTTTCAACTTTGCAGAAGTGATAGGAGTTAAGTCTTAGAGAAAAAGAATTTGTAGTGCGGGGGGGGGGAAGGTGAAGGTTTTCAGGGCTGGGGGTCCAAAGGAAGTTTGGGTCTTTAGCGTGATAGGTTAGAGAGCTTAAATGGACACACAGGTAGTGACTCTAGCATGTGTAAGGGGCAGGAGGGCAGAGGGAGTCATTTTAAGCCTGAAAGTACTATAGGGGAGAAACATGGCTTCCGGGTAGAGCCCCACCGCAAGGTTTACGAGAGGAGGAGGAGGGGAGGAGGAGAAGGTGAAGGAGGAGGAGGGGCTTCTGGAATTAAATTATAAGTAAGCATTTAAATAATTATTTTAAAGAAAAATAAAGTTTCAAATCGGGAGAGTAAGAATAATACTCTGCGTATTGTTATCTTTATAGCAGTTACTCAGAGTACAAGATATAGGCATAAAATAATGTTCAGACAATACTAGTACAAATCTTTCTTTGCTATGAACTAAGAGAAACCAGCTGTATAACTATCTTTGCAGACTAACACTGCTTTTAGGGGCATATCTTACTTGTCAGCCAGTTCAGAAGGTCCTCGGGCTAATTTCCGATGAAACTGTTACTTGTCCCCATTTCTAAGATATAAATTCCTTTTTGCCAATACTGCTCAAGCATTCAGAGAAAGAGGTGAGGAGGTGCGGAAGGGGGTCAGACAGGTGGAAGAGGATTTCAGGTTCCTACTCTGGCTGGGCATGGTGATGGATCTGAACTTCTGCATACTGCATAAAGTGCTGGGAATACATACCTTAGGGTTTGTCTGGGGTCCTATCAGCTAGGAAGGTTGTTGGGAACAGCTAACCAATTCACTTCAGATGAGAAACACTCGCGAGACATGGGACCCATGCGGCCATTTTCTCACACCACGTCCGACGCCATCTTCCCGGCAAAGACACCAACCCCCACCCTCCTCTGATTCAGACAGCGAAGGCCTGCTCCCTAACAGTTAGGCACATAATATTTAATTCCAGACAAAAGCCAGCAGACAAGATTTCATCTTGCTTGTACGTTATATGGCCACAGGACCAGCGCCATCGCTAACCTCTCTGCTTCTCCATCTTCTTCCTCCCCTTTTCAGCTATTTCTTTAGGCACCTTGCAGCCAGGAGGCGGGGCCGGCGAGGCGAAGAGGGCGTGACCTGGAGCCCGCCGTCACGGCCCCGCCCCGCGGATGACGCAGGGGGTTGGAGATTCGTGCCTCGAGGCTGAGATCCCGAAGTCCCAAACTAGCGAGTCACGCAGCTCTGTTCCGTCAGCCGTGTGACACCACGCTACCTTGTCCTCCCTGGTCTACGCCGGAAGTGTAGGTAAGAGATTAGTTTTTTTCTGTTAGTGCTCTTTCGGTCGTCCAGCGGTTCGCTCTGTACGCAGACATACAGTTAAGACCTGCCGGCCAGCCTGAGGTAAATAGGACGGCTGGCTCCTGGGTGGAAGGCCACACGAAAGTGGTCAGGCTTGCTCTCCGAGTGGAGACGGTGTTGAACTGCAGTGTTGCAGTGCACAAGGGTACAGCCCCACCCACACTTAGGAAAGTGTAGACCCCAGAAACAATGTGTAATATAGACCTGGGTGTGGACCTATGTGCGGCAGTTGCCCTCCGTCGCTCAGAACAGTGAGGCTCCTGCTTCATTACTCCCTCTGGCGTAGACCGGCATTGCAGTTAGCGTGGCGACCTCGCCCACACCTGGGGCAGAATGTCCAGCGCGCAATCGAGCGCTAAAGCCTCTCCGAATGTAAGACGCACTGATTCTCACACGGAGGCACCCGCATCAGGACAGAAACTTTGTTGTTACCCCCTCCCCCATCCAATATAGAGAAACTCAGAAAAGCATAATGTACGTTAAGGAACAAACTTTCCGGTTTTGAAAAAAAAAAAAAAACTTCCCGGGATTTGAGACCTTGAGTGACTAATTGATTAAAGCCCCACCCCTACTCTTGTGGAGTTTAGGTCTTGTTAGTCTTTTGCAGAACCACTCCCCCTTATTCTTGGTTAGGATGAGTCCCCATTGTGGAGAATTAAGCCTGGCAACTACCCCATAAAGAAGTGCTATTTTATTAAACCTGTAACGTCCTACCTCAACAAAGAGAAACAGACCTTAGTTTCTAAGGGGGTGGTCACATTTGCCCTTCAGGGTCCTCCGGGATAGGGGACTCAGATTTCTTTTTCTCTTTCTCTCTCTCTGTCTCTCTCTCTTTTTGTATTTAGTACAGGATCTACAAGGTCTCACTGCAGAGATCAGACTCATAGTGATCTGTTTTCAGCCTCCCAAGTGCTAGGATTACAGGTGAGCGCCACCTCACCCAGGCTCAGTCACCATCGCAGCGCGCCCTGTGGGTGGGGCTGGCACCTCATGCTGGGGATCCAACCCTGGCTGCTGTGCTCTGCCTAAGCAGGTGCTTTAGTCTGCTCAGCTATCTGGCTGGCCCTTTTCTTTCTCCTTGAGGCAGACATAGACCTCTCCAAGGATTTGTCGCCAAATATAGACAAGGCTACTGATGGTGAAGAGGTGCAGCTCCTACTCCTATAATGTAGAGATATTACCCTACAATGCATATGGATTCTGTCTTTACTCAAGTTTCTCCTCACCCAGGTTAAAATGACATAGCTCCTCAATGTAGGATCAGATCTGCTGAGTTTATAATTTTGTTGCCTTCTACTTTATCATTCCTCACCTGTGCCTGCAACTGGAGACCCTATTCTCTTTAATATTAGTATGCTGCTAACTGCAACCCAGATGAAAGACACAGAGATAATATTAATCCACCACCCACGGAAGGGTTCAAAATAGGGTGCTGCAGACAAAAATGCACACCCTTCTCATTCAAAGCTGCACAATTTTCTGTCATTATTAGTATGTCATTGGTGTCACCTTATTGTGAAGTCACTCCTGCCTCTACAGGTTAAAGAGACCTAAGACTACCCCCAACAACTTAGAAATACTTGGTCCTGTGCTTTTCTTCCATGCACCAGAGATGCACACAATGGTGTTAGTTCCACAATTTCTCTGTGCTTTAGAGTAGGGGGTAGATGGGCACCCTCCTCTCAAAATGCCAAGATGAAGAGACTCCCGTTAGTTGTACACACAGAGGAATAGATTTTACCTCCTTATTGGATTTTTTTTGATATAGGGTCTCACTATGTAGTTCAGGCTGGCCTTGAACTCACTATGTAGCCCAGGCTGGCATTGAACTTGAGGTCCTCCTCCTGCCTCAGCCTCCTGAGTGCTGGTATCACAGGCCTGCACTACCATGCCTGGTACCTCTCTAAGATTTTGTGCTGAGTTCAGTCCACAGAAGCACTGTTTTTTTTTTTTTTTTTTGAACCTAGGGCCTTTTCACTGATGTACATTCACACCCCTTTTTAAATTGTGAGGGCTAGGGAGATAAGTACCTGCCTGGCAAGTGCAAGGTCCTGGGTTTGATCCCTGGTACCAAAGAAAGAACGAGGGCCTGAGGAAATGCTTAGTGGAATAAGCGCTTGCCTGGCAAGTGCAGGGTCATGAGTTCAATCCCCAGTACCACAAAAAAAAAGAAAGAAAGAAAGAGCAAGGGGCCAGGGAGATGGCTCAGTAAAATAAGTGCTTGCTTGGCAAGTGCAAGGGCCTGAGTTCAATCCTCAGTTCTGCCAAAAAAAAAAAAAAAAAGAAAGAAAGAGGGAAAGAAATTCCTTACTATTTAGAGCCAGACATAGTGGTGTAGGCCTGTAATCCCAGTACCCTCAGCCTCCTGAGTACTGATTGTTGTGAGTTCCAAACCAGCCTGGGTTACAAAGTGAGTTCAAGGCCACCCTGAACTGCATGGCAAGACCCTATCTCAAAAAGACAAAAAATTGAGTCAAGATCTTACTAAGTCACTAAATTGCCCAGCTGTGTTAAAAAATGAATGCCTTACTCAGCCTTTAAAGTGCTGAAACTATAGACATGCACCATTGTATCTAGCTAAGATTCTTGAGGCTCTTTTTCCCCTGGGTAGACTCCTGAGATCTATTGCTGATGTCACCTCTCCTATGGTAAATGAGATATATAACCCCTTGGAAAAAGAGATTATCATGCACCCCATGAGGAAACATGATCCGCAAATACTCCTCCCCTCAGAATGGAAGGGTTTAGAACTAGTTGCATATTTAGTGTATAATACTACAAGATGGTAGAATAAAGATCAAGGATCTTATTGAATACATTGAGGCACACTCCACTTGAGGAGAGAGGTTGAGACCTTCCCCTCCCTTTGGGTAATATGATACTGCCTTTTCTTTGTGCACTCAGCCATATCAGGCTAACTTCAGTTGTAGCTTCTCTCATTTTTCTGCTTATGAGGGCTTCCTTATTATGGTATTCTGACTTTTTTTTTTGGTGCTTTGAGGTAGGGTTTCACTATGTAGCCCAGGCTGGCCTTGAACAAACTTGTGATCCTGCCTCAACCTAAGTACTGGGATTATAGACATATGTCACTACACCTGGATAATTCTGACATTTTATTTTACCTTTGGGTAGTTAATAAGGGGGCTTGTGGCATTGTGTGGTTTCCAGGTTTTCAAATTGCTTCTATTCTGACAGGAAGAAAGTGGGCAGATTTGAATCTACCTGTTTCCAAGCTGGTTGATCATCATGAAATTTAGACAAAGTAAGTTTCAGTGAATCCTATACTTTCTATAAATGTTCATAGTATTTTACCTCAACTCAAAGAAAATACATATCCTTAATATCATTTTTAAAATTAGTACTTTTTTAGTTTGTAATGATTATATTTACTATGGGGAGTTAGTATATGTATGTAACACATCTTAATTCTTAGTTTTGTTCCCTACCCTTTTTTATTTTTTATTTATATTTATTTATTTATTTTGTTCCCTACCCTTTTCATCCCTCTCTGGTCCCTCTAATTCTTTCCTTTCCCATTTGCAAAAATTCTGTTTTCATTTTTTGCTTTGTTTAGTTTTTTGAGCCAGGGTCTCACTATGTAGTTCAGACTGGCCTTGAACTCACCATGCAGCTTGGATTGGCTTTGAATTTGCAGGGATCTTCCAGTCTCAGCCTCCACAGTGCTGGGATTACAGGCATGCACCACCATGCCCAGCTACTATTTCCATTATTTCTTCAGTTCTTTTTTATTTTATTATTTTATTTTATTTTATTTTATTTTGCAGAACCGGGGATTGAACTCAGATCCTTGCGATTGCCAGTCAAGCGCTTATTCTACTGAGCCATTTCCCCAGCCCCATCTTCAGTTCTTTTTTTAAAATTTCATTTATTTGGTGCAGGATCTCACTATACAGTTCAGGACTCGGAGTGATCCTCCTGTTTTCAGCCTCCCCAGCAGTGGGATTACAGGTGTGTGCATCCACACCTGGACTCAGTGGCCACTCAGCATGCCTGGGGGCTGGGCCCATGTGGTTTGTGGTACTGGGAATTGAACTCTGGTCCCTGCGCTTGCCTAAGCAGGTGCTTAGTCTGCTGAGCTATCTCGCCTGTCCCATTCAATTCTTTTTTAAAAAAAATCACTTTTCCTCCATCTTTCGTTTACTTTCCCATTTGATCTCACTATTTCCATTATCTTTTATTTTGCTCAGTACTTAAACTTTGTTTACTACAACTTTTAAAAATTGAAGGCTTGTATGGTGGCTCATGCCTATAATTCTAACACTTGGGAGGCTGAGGCAGGAGGATGGTTCTCTATGAGTTTGAGACCAGCTTGGGTGGGATACAATAATGAGCTCAAGTCTAGCCTGAATTACACAGCAAGACCATCTCCAAAACAAAACAAAATTTTGCTCAATATGTTATAGATCATTTATTATGTTTTTTAAAAACATATCATTCCTTTCCTCCTGGGTCCCTCTTAAGTATGTTCCTCACATTCTCATTTTATAGATGAGAAAACTGGCCCAGCAAGGTTAGGTGACTTAATCTAAGGCCAGTAGCAGTAGATACTATATAGTACTGCATGATATGGTATAACATTTTTCATTAAGTTTTACCTTCAAGTTGGAACCTTAAATTATACACGTGGCTATGACCATGACCTTTCAAACCAGACTAGGTTTGAGTCTCAGCACTCTCACTCACTTCTTAGCAGCCTGTATGTTCTTAGGCAAAGTTTGCTTTTTGGAGACAAGGTCTCTACATTGTTATGGTTGATACATTGTGTTACCTTGAGGAGTCTAGAAGCTTAACTAAGTAATTCAACAGTTCTAATCCTTGGGTAAGAATGACATGCCCTTATACCTCTGGGGTGTTATTCATGGTGTCTGAGAAATTTAAAAGCTCAACTAGGTGACTCAGAAGTTTTGCATCCTGGGGTGAAAAAGATATGCCTTTACCTGTCTACGCTGCTGTTCAGTGTGTCAACTTGAAAAGTTTAGAAGGTTAGTTAAGTGACTGAGCAGGGGCTCAGGGTCCTTTTGTATTTATCCTGAGTCTCTGCAAGAGGGCATGGAGATGGTGTGGATGTAAAGGACCTCCCCACCTCAGGGTGAGTAGGCACTTTATAGTATAAAGGAGGAAAAGTTGCTTTGGAGCCAGCTAATTATGGACTGAAAACCACAAACTGAGCTACATAAACCTTTCCTTCCTTAAATTTGGGCGATGGGTATTTTGTCTCAATGAGGAGAGAAAAGTAACCAATACAATTGACTAGTTGTCCAGGCTGACTTTGAACTCCTAGGCTCAAGTGAACTTTCTTCCTCAGCTGGAATTGTGAGAATTTAATGAGTTTAAAGAGGTAAAATGCTCAGAACAGTGCCCAGCACATAGTAAGCATTATCTATAAGTACAATTGTCCCTCTGTATCTGTTGGCACCTGGCAGATAACCAAAATCAGTGTTTACTCCTAATTCCGTATACAAAATGGCATAGCATTTGCATATAATTTGCATATTTCCCTTACATTTTATTTATTTTTTTTATTTATTTTTTTAT